GGCCGAGTAGCTGCTGCTCCCGGAGCCCGGGTGCCGCGCCGCCCGCAGCCACCTTCCCACCCGCGACCGTGCTGCCGGTCAGGCCCCTGGGAGAAGCCGGGAGGAAAATGAAGAGTTTCCATCGGAATCCATTGGAAATAGGACTCACTGCAAAGCCTTAAAAAGAAAGACCTCGGGAGCAGAAGGAAAAGCCTCCTCTGGGCAAGACTTGGCGTGCTCCGAGCTAGGGAGAAGCTGCTTCAGGGACCTCGCCCCCTCCCTTTCCCGCTGGAGAAATTGCCGTTGATGTTTTATCCAAGTGGTGGTTGGGAGGATTTGCAGCAGAATTTTTGGTTTTCCCTCCCCCTCCTATTCATGCTGGTTTTTTCCTCTCTTTTCTATTTTCCTTCTTCCCGGGAAGTGAATTGCGGATGCAAAGAGGACTGTACTCATTAATGATGCAACCGGATTCGTTTCAGGGTTCTGTTGCAGGAGTTGAATTTTGAATGAAGGAGAAGAGTTTTTTTTTTTTTTTTATTTAAGATGTATTAAATATATATATATATATTTTATGGTAACTTTCCCTCAAGATAAATGTATATGGGTGAAATTGAAGACGCTTCGTTTAAGTGAGATTACTGGTGTACTGGATGTTTAATTCAGCACCGGCATTGCATGACAGCTGTTGGAAAAACAAGTGGTTTATTGTTAAAACCACATCTTTTAAAATTTAGGTTCAAATAGTTGTAGTAAAAATTGTAATAGCAATTTAAAAGAGAGCCAGCAGAAACCGAAGCAAACATGTCCGGAGAAGTGCGTTTGAGGCAGTTGGAGCAGTTTATTTTGGATGGGCCGGCTCAGACCCATGGGCAGTGCTTCAGTGTGGAGACCTTACTGGATATACTCATCTGCCTTTATGATGAGTGCAATAATTCTCCATTAAGAAGAGAGAAGAACATTCTTGAATACCTAGAATGGGGTAAGTTTGTGATTTTTTAAACTATAGCTGGACGTTATGATTTAGTAGTTAAGAGTTATGAGCAGACTAATGAAAAAAATACAGATATCTAAAATAAAAGGACATCAACTATTTTAAGATTTTTTTTTTCCCTCTAGTTTTTGGTACGTATTTTCCCAGGAGTAAAATCATACTACTCAGTTGTTGCCTTGCTGTAAGGCCTAGCTATTGTGGAATTTGTGATGAAGAACTTATGTTTTTAGGTCAGCAGTAAGAAATTTAAATTCTGGGAAAGGTAAAATGGATTATTGCTCCCAGTTGCCTAATCCGTGGCAATATGACAGCCACTCAATGTGAGGTGTTTGTTGGTGGAAACATTCTCTCCTAGACTTGAGAAATCAGTCTTGAAATGGGAGAAGATCCTGAAATATCTGTGTTTATCTTAGGGCAGCAGGATCATGAAGGGCAGTGATCAGTGAGTTTTATTTCATATCTGTGTCGGACAAAGGAAATTGCTAAAAAATAGACCTTTCAAAAATTGTTACGTTCCTAAAATGAAATGGCTTAACTACTTTAAAAATATTGTGACAGTCGTTGATCGGGAATGTTTAGGAGCAGCTCCTGCCTAAACGTCAGATTTTATTCCAAATCGAATTTAAGTCTAAACTGGGTAGATTTTTGGTTCAGTCTTCTAAATGTAGATGTGATTAAGACTTGCTGTAGTGGAAGGGATCAGTGAGAAGAGCAAAGGCTCTTCCGTGACCTTCAAGCTTGAAGGCTTGGTTGAAGTTCTTTAGCCTCCGAGGTTAAGCCCAGGCTCAGTGTGACGTCCAGCGGTTCACTTTATCTCCCAGACCTATGGTGCACCTTGGCTTCTGAAGGATTTTGGCCAACTGCACGTAGTACGTTGTACCTTTAGAATACTAATAATTTTAATTTGTTGTTAAGTTTTTATCCTTTATCCTTATTCCTAGGTAAAGCTTTCCTGAAGTAAAAAATCAAGTGCTGATACTTTTTCCTTCAAAAATTTTATTTCAAGTTAGTTTCTCAGGTCATTCACTGATGCAGGATACACATAATAATTTTATTTATCCAAGTTGCCAGTAGTAGAGTTCTAGCAACATGATGTCATGACGTTTTAAGAGATATGTAAATGTGGATGAAATGATATTAAAAAACAGACTACTACAGTCATATTGGGAATGTAAGAAATTGACCCATTTATTCAGGCAACTTCTAAGACAGTTTTGACTTTGTTACTGGTTTTGTTAGAATGTCTTTTTAATGTGTAAAGTATTTTATAAAGCAAAATACTTTATAAAGCACATGTAGTTTTACATTCCATGTTTCATGAATTCAGAAGTCCTGTAGTGTTTTCTTTGAAGATTAAAAAGGTTTTGGTACTTTTAGAATTGGAGTTTAAATTTTTCAATTTTGGTTACATAGTGGCACCCTAGTCTGTGATTATGATTGTCTTTTAATATCCTTTTTTACTTGCAGAATACTAAGACCTTTTTTTAATGTACCAGTGGTAAATATAATTTTAAGTAATATATGATAAAAGACAGTTATATCCTTCATTGCCTTTTGGTTGAATTTATGTAGTTTATGCCATATTTTTCTAGATTGTTAAAATAATTTGTTTTTCCATTAATGTATTTTCCTGAATGTTGTTTCTTCTGTCTGTATAAAAACACTTTGTTTACCTGTAAGTTTACTTAAGCCAGAAAAGCAAAAAAATTAAATAAATATTTGGCCAAGTACATTATATTTTTATGAATATTTAAAATAACTTAATAGCCAGGTGCAGGGAACAGCCTGTAATCCCAGCACCTACAGAAGCTGAGGCAGGAGGATTCCAAGTTCAAGTCCCACCTGGGGAACTTAGTGAAACCCTGTCTCAAAGTAAAAAATAAAAGGGTAGAGGATGTAGCTTAGTTGTAGAGCAGCACAGATATATGTTTCTAAATACTGAGAATTGTGATAGAGCTACAGATATATATTTCTTAACAATTTAAGACCAGGAGCCTGGTGTGGTGTCCCACGTTTGTAATCCCAGCACTTGAGAGGCTGAAGCAGAAGAAAGGTTCACAAGTTTGAGGCCCGCATGGACTACATAGCAAGACCCTGTCTGTCTCAAAACAAAACGACCAGGGACTTGTCACAATCAAGGAGTAAAGTTTTTAGTGGTACCCTTTACATTTTGTGTTTTTAGAAGCCTGATACTATATGTGGCTTCACCAACTTAACTGTTTTTCACTGTTTGGAGAACAAGAGAATAGAATTTTTAAGGAATTAATTTGTATACTTTAGGTCTGAGGAGTGTTTGTTAAGGCTCAAGTTTTTCTTTTCTTTCTTTTTTTTCTTTTCGGAAGTACTGGGAATGGAACCCAGGGCCTTGCACATATTAGGCAGTGCTGTACTGCTGAGTGTTTTTAAGATGGCTTAAGAGGTCTTGAATATGGGGTATATCTATCAGAAGTTTGAGTAAAGTGTAAGAAAAGAAAGTTAAGAATGAAAAAGCTAAGAGATGTATTGTAAGTAGTAATACTATGTTTGGGGCAATTTAGGTTAAGAATAAGCATCTTTTCATTTAAGTATTGAAATAGATTTTCTGTTCTTCACCTATGAATTGAGTACTGCATTTTGGAGAAATGTTCTATTTTATTCTCATTACCCAATGTCATATAAAAAGCAATTTAGGTTAAAGAAGCTTCTGAGTGGTGAATTGACCTCAATTTAATTTTTAAAAACATTATTTTTGGGTGGAGTGTCCTTTGATATATATTTACTAGAATTATTGTTGGGTTTAATTTGATAATTTAGATTTGTCTTAACAGATAACATTTTTAGTTTGATTTTAATATTCAAGAAATATTGAGTCTTTAAATATTTAAAAGACCCAGTAATTGCAACAAGAGAGCAGGATAGTTAAGTACTCTATATTATACTAAATACTTAATGTTTGTTTTTGTATTTATAATTATGAAAGTAAGATACTTCTCATTTTTATGCTGTTGATAGGTTTCTCTTAAAAATAGAGTCAACCAAGATTCTGTCTGTATTGCTTTTCCAGCAAATTTATTTTATTCCTTGTTATGGCCTATTTCACTTCTATATTGTTATTGTTAGTATTTACACGACATAAGAAAGCTGATCACTCAAAGTCAAGTATGTTATTTTTCTCTAACTCATTGCTTGCTTTTGTACTGATGGATTGAGGGAGGAAATAAATAGAGCAGGAGAGAGGTAGAGGAGGGGATTAAGCCAGTGAACACTAACCCAAGGGGGAAATACACCTTGATACCATTGATCATGTTTAAATTTAATAATACGTATTATTTTCCAGTAAGCCAATAAGATTTGAAAGACTATGTTTTTGTCTTCTTTGTTTTTTAAGTTGTTAAAATGATTATGGTTTATGTTTGTTTATGAGTAGTGGCTTTACTGTTAGCATAATTTTAGAATATGTTAAGAGTTATAGAAGTAAAAACAACTTTTACATTATAAACTAACTTCCTGGTGAGTTAAATCGAGCAATTTGAATTTTACAGAATTCTTTGCCAATTTACTTTAAAAAAAAATCAATGATGTTACTCAGTATGAAAGAAATTTGCAAGGCTATGTATGTGGATAACTGTTTTTTGATACTTTCTGAACTTGACTTTGTAATACTTAGTAGAGAATAGTGTGATTAATAAAGCTGTTCCCAGGAACATCAGCAGATACTGTGGTATACACTTTTCCTTTTATTAGAGTAGTTTTTTTAAAGCTTATTCACATTTTTTCATGTGTGGGTTAATTCAGGTGATGATGGCTTGATCTGAATATTTGTTTAGGATACTTTGGTCTTCTCATCTGTTGCTTCTTACTGTTGGCTTTTCCTGAGTAGAATTTATTAATCATACTAATTTATCAAAATGTTCATTGAATACAGGTGATAGCATATATTTTCGTGTAAGCCCTCAATTAGGGTAATCATAAATGTCTTTAGAAATATAGGTTGGGCGTTTAATTCCTTTTGACTAGTAACATGATATTCTATTAAATAATCTATCACTGTGCTAGCAATGCTAGGAACATGTTCAAAAGTGATTATTGTTATTTCATTTCTTTCTCTTCTATTTTCTCAAGTTATACTTAGAGTTATCAGATGGTACTGGTTATTGCAACAGCTATAGACATTGATTGATTAGTAATTATTTTGAAGAATAGCACTTTAAGAAAAATACTGGTTTATAGCCAGTCACAGTGGCTGAGGCAGTGGGATTGCAAATTTGAATCCAGCCTGGGCAACTTAGTGATTTAGCAAGAACCTGCCTCAAAAAAAAAAAAAAAAAAAAAAAAAAGTTGGGGATGTGACTTAGTGCAAAGACCTTGGGTTCAATCCCCAGTATCCTCCCAGTTGCTGTACGAGTTAGGAATAACACTTAAAAGATGTTAGGATTAACACTTAAAGAATTAAAAAAAATACATTTATTTTGTATGGAAATTTAGGACAGTTTTCCACAGTAGTGTAGAAATAAATACCATAATATTTTAGAAATTTTATGAAATATCCTGTAAATATTAGGACTTGATTACCTTACCATTACACAGTGAGCCCATGCTGTTTTAGGGTAAAGGATCTGAAATTGGCATAAATAAGTATCATACTATTCCATGGCAGTCAAACAATCTTTTCGAAAACTTTTTCCGTTATGGTACTTACTGTCAGTATGTTGTGTATGAGCTCATTGGTTTCCATCCTGCTGGTTGTGGTAGGTTTTTTAATCAGTTTTTGTGTGACTAGCATTTAAAGAATGAAATAAATCACAATAGAAAATATTAAGCTCATATATAGAAAAAATAAGTATCATTATGTAAAACATTTGTGTTTTCTAGTATTTCTTACTAATATTTCTTGCACTCTGAGATTAAGAGTTTGAGGCCAGGTGTAGTGAGAGTAAAAGGGAGAATTGGAGAGGAACAGAATGAGAATGAATATAGAGATGAATTTACCATTTGAATTTACTGTGTTC